ACCAAAGGTCAAGTAATTTAAGGACTAGCCTTGATACCAGCTCCTGCAGATCATTTGACAGTGACACCTCAACTTTGGATCTGAAGAATCATTTAAGTGATCAGACCTCAAATAAGCCCGAAATTGTGGGAACACCTTTAACTAGAGGAAGTTTAAAGCAAGCAGGCACAATTTCTCGTCCGGCCTCTATGAAACCAACGGGACTGCGGATGCCATCTCCGAAGATGGGTTACTTTGACGGGGTTAGTTCAGTCTTCTATTTATACAGTTTTACTTTTCATGTCCTTCAATTAGAAATAATTTACGTGATGACAACATCTAGTATAAATGACGATAAGATCATTACCAAGTGGAAAGAAAAATTTCTCAAGTTAAATTGATTGTCATACAGGTGAAGGCAGTCCATACTCCTAATGGTTCTCATCCCAGTTTGTCTACTGTGCTGCCCAAGACTGAAGTTTCGGTCTGTAGCCCAAACGGAAATTCAAACATGAAAGCTAAGAGTGTAAAAGTTCCACTTAGAGCAAACAGAAAGCCTGAATCTCTGAAGCACCTCTCTCCTGTATCTTCCTCAGACAAGTCAAATGTTTCAGTTAATCACTTTACTGCACTGCCCAAGAATGTAGCTACCATCTGTAGCCCAAAAGGAAACTCAAACACGAAAGCTAAGAGTGTAAAAGTTCCACTTAGGGCAAATAGAAGGCCTGAAAATCTGAAGCACCTCTCTCCGGTATCCTCTACAGACAAGTCAAATGTTTCAGATAATCACCCTGGTGCTCCAAGTGATATTACTCTTGTTCCTGAGTTATCTCTTGAAGTTCATCATGAAATAAGTGGAGCAAATACTTCGAAAAATATGGATGTGGTGGCTGAAGAAGCTGATCCATTTGAAAACATTCAAAGTGCTGGTTTGGTTGCTTCTGAGAGTGAAAACCAAGGCGCGGTGGGCAATGATGCAGGTGCTAGTTTGGTTGCAACTAAGAGTGAAAACCAAGGCATGGCCAGCAATGATACAGGTGCTAGTTTGGTTGCAACTAAGAGTGAAAACAAAGGCGTGGCAGGCGACGATGCAGGTGCTAGTCTGGATGCAACTAAGAGTGAAAATCAAGGCGTGGCCGGCAACGATACAGGTGCTAGTTTGGTTGCAACTAAGAGTGAAAACCAAGACGTGGTGGCCAATGACACATGTGCTAGTTTGGTTGCAATTAAGAGTGGAAACCAAGGCATAGCAAGTACTTTGAACAATAAGGAAGTGTTGGCCGAAGGACCTGATACAGTTGAACACGCTGCAGCTGATGGTTTGGTTGGAATTAGGAGTGAGAACCACGTCATTGTGAGCAATGATACAGTTGTTATTGAGAGTGGAAACCAAAGAGCAAGTACCTTGAACAATGAGGAAGTTGTGCCTGAACGACCTGATACATTTGAACACGTTGCAGGTGATGATTTGGTTGCAATTAAGGGTGAAAACCAAGTCATTGCGAACAATGATATGGATGTGATTAAGACTGAAAACCAAAGATTAGCAAATTCTTCTACTGATAAGGAAGTGGCTGAAGGACCTGATTCAGTTGAACACGTTCTAGGTGATGGTTTGGTTGCAATTAAGAATGAAGACCAAGTCATGGCGAACAATGATGTGGATGTGATTAAGAGTGAAAACCAAAGATTAGCAAATTCTTCGAAAGATAAGGAAGTTGTGGCTGAAGGACCTGATTCAGCTGAACACGTTGCAGATGATGGTTTGGTTGCGGTTAAGAGTGAAAGCCTAAGTGTTTTGAACAGTGATATGATTGCTGGTTTGATTGCAACTAAAGGTGAAAACCAAGGACCTGATTCAGTTGAACATGTTCCAAGTGATGGTTTGGTTGTGATTACGGGTGAAAGCCAAAGTGTTTTCAACAGTGATATGGTTGCTGGTTCGATTGCTACTAAAGGTGAAAACGTACGCGTTATGGAAAATGAAATGAACTGGGACACTACTGGGAATACTGACATCAAGACTGCGGAGGTTGTTTCAGATGAGAAGGATTCAATTACTGAAAACAATAGATGGTGTGAAACAGTTGATGGAGATGGAGTAGGTGTTCAGTGCAATCTTAACTATAATTCTGATTTGCTCAGCCAGAAGAATGAGATGAACTTGGAGGATAGTTTAAATGGTGACTTCAAAAATACCAAGATTGATCAAGTTGAGGACTCAACTATCAAGGGTGCTGAAATAATGCCATCGTGCCAAACAGGGGATGAAGGCAGAGTAGATGTCAAGGATGATTTGGATACTCTCGAGAAAACAAATACAAAGAAAAATGTTTGTGCGAATCAAGTGGACCAACTAAACAGTCAGGTAGAAGAAGTCAGCTTAACCCCATTTAGCGATAAGGTTGAATCTCTGATGAGCAAGTTGGCCTATTTGTCACTAAATACCCCTGAGGTAGCAGCTAGAAGGACGCCCTTCGCTGTCAAGAATTCTTCCGCTGATTGTCTTGATTTTTCTGAAGGAGCAGTCCAGGTTGTTGGGAAGACTGATTTAGACCTTCCTTCTTTAGAAATTGATCATAAAGAAAACAACAATTTATGAGGATGGCCAGGCATGCTTTCATTGCAAGGTAAAAAGAAGATCTGTTTCGATCTTAATATTACAACTTTACATTAGTCTGAGAAGTGCATCTTTATCATGAAAAGATCTTTCCTTTCTCCCAAATGTGGTCTAATCTGAATCTTTAACCTATTCTGCTTCTTATAATGATGTGTTAATGTGAGCTAATTGTGTGTAAACTTTGATGTTCAAAGATGGTTAGGCTTCAAGAACAAGAAGGCTAGTTTCAGCAGGCGGCAAAGGCATCACTATTGTATAGCACTTGAGGAAGGCTTATCTGATGCATGATTCGTCCGCTTTCGGCTAAGATCAAGATTATTGAGAACATATCTTTTTTGATGTTCAAGTACTGACTTCTGTCACAAATACATTTACATAAATGTAAAACCTACAAGTCTTTACTAGTCAGATTTGCAATCAATCTCACAAGTTGCAATTATCTTAGTGTTAAGAAGTGTTGCAGAGAATTATATCCTTAAAGTTTTCATTATCCACTTCAAAAGGAAATAAGTTGGCATTCCTTTATTTTAAAAGAGTTAAAAGATTCTATGTTCGAATTCATACTTAAAATTAAAAAGATTGTTCTCGAAATCCGAACTATGCCACGTAAATTGAGACAGACATATGCTTGTGCTTCTTTCTTATTACTTTGAACTACTTGATGCATCAAATTTGGCCAATTCGTCAGAAAACATTAAAATATTGGGTTTTTAGTCACAATAAATATAAGTTAATTCATCCTTTTTAGTCACATTCATATTCTACATTTTTTTTGAATAGTGCTGTATTAGAAATAAATTATACGCCTTTGGATCAAAGTATTCTTAAATAAAACAAAATCCTTCAGACTGCTTCATTAAGGATCTACCACAGCAATTACACAACGTGGTGCCGGTTCTTCTGCAGCCAAATAAGACAATTAATTTTGAGAAGCTTTTTAAGCCTTTTGAAAGGCAGATACCTCCCTTTTTTTTTCTTTTTTTTTTTTGTGTTGTATAACAGCAACTTTATGGGCTTTAGGTTAATCTTTTTTTTTTGAGACTTAACTAATAATTAATGATATCCACTTTTTAATAATTAATAATATTAAAAATTATTAATAATTCCCCTAATTGTATATCCAATTACTTATAAATAGAGAAGTAACTCAAAAATCAATCACAAGGGTTTAAATCCGTAATAGGAGTATAATTTAAGGGAGAAAAAAATTAAATTCTATATTTAACGTGTCTTGAAACTTTTATAGATTTGAGCAGTTTTGGGGGG